CAGTTAAAATAGCTTCGAGTGCAAAGGGTTAAGTTCAAGAATAATAGGTATAGCTCAAGTTGTCAATTTATTGGCGTAAAAGGTCTTATTTTTTCTATCAAACTTCGTCTTCATTGAAAAATCGCAGTAATACAATACTTACACTTGCCCTATCAGCGATCGGAGATTCGGCTGATATCTTTCTGGAAATTCGACATTAGGCGAGCAGATCGAACGTCTCTCGAAATTCGAAGAAACAGGAAACTCCGCGAGATTGCTTCTCGCAGGAATGAAGTTCGATTTTCAAGAGAAGCACGAGGAATTCGAATCGCAGGTGATACGCGACTCGAGAATCCTGCATTGTCTTCCGAAATTGGAATTCCTTTGACAGAGTCGAATCTCTGACAAACCCGTCGCCGGAATCAATCGAGTGCTGCTTGTAGATGCCTCGTAATTAACACCGAATGGGACGAGACGGTCGTGACCTGCGAACTCCTCGAAAATCGCTACTCCTTCGGCGAACGTTGCGCCTTGTGAAGTATGATCTTCATCAGCGCTCCAAGCACGAAACTGTACAACATCAATTTCTCGATGACATCTTGGTATGGCATCCCGTAAGCTAAATTGTAATATGCCCCGTTGCGATCGTGACTAATTCGCCTCTATCATCCCGCCTTAAGCTGCTTTCTCTTCGGCATCGTAAAATACTTTTTGATTTACTTTTTGCTTTAAAATCGTTTTTGTTTTAAATGGTTCTTACAGGTGTCCCGATATCTTATCCAAGCTCTATTTCAATACATTTCGGAGCTGACTGGAACACCATTTAAAACTACGTTCGGAATTCCATGGAATCGATTATGGTAATTTGAACAGCCTCAACAGAATATTTCTTGATGTAATCAAAAGCGGATCTCTAAATTTTTGTTATTTTTCATCGCGTATAAAATTTTATCTCCGTATTTCATTATACCAAAGAGTTAAACCAGTTTGAAAGCAAATAAGAAAGTAAAATTTCGAAGAAAGAAATTTCGAAGGAACGCATTTTTCGAAAATCGATCGATTTAGCTCGGCTCGTTTCGAGGGATTATCTACCGCCATCTCGTCTAAATAAATATTCTAATAATTATTTACTGGCGAATGAATAAATTGAAGGATCTCGAGATCTTCGCAGAAGAATCGTGAATATTAAAATAGTTCGCAGACGACCTAATTGAAAAAAAAACCCTTTGATATGACCCACTCAAGGATTTCTCTCCTTAAAAATTCTGTTGGACTGGGAAACTTCCGGTCTCCTCTTCCACAAGTTTTGTAAATTCATTTCTGCTTGCGAAAATTGCTATGAAAAATTGAAATTGGTACTGCGGCCGGTAGAATGATTTCAGTTTACAAAGTTAGGCAATAAAGCACGCGCAACGCTCGTGATATTAAAGAATACTAATTATTCGACGCGGGTCAAGCCCGGTTAAAAAAATTCCAGAATGGGACTACTTTTACTCGCAGGAGCACACGAAAAAAAAACAACGATCTCGAGAACAGCCTCGACTAGCACAGAGCGATATCGATTTCCAATTACTGGCATTATTTCGAGCCCGGTCTCCTCGAAAGTTGTGAGGAACGGTGTGCAATAATGCGAGCACGTTTCCTGGCCGTGGCTGCGCATAATTCTACGACGAGGATTCCTGTAATCGTCAAATAAATTTTTACCAAGATAAGCAACAAAAGGTACTGTGCCATCCTTATATTATTCTCGAAAATAACGTATGCGAACTATGGCTTATATGTATATTGAATGAATCGAGAGAGCTCGAAAAAGTGTAAAATATTTTCTTATTATTACTATTATTGTTATTACTACTACTACTATTATTATTATTACTATTATTATTATTACTACTACTACTACTATTATTATTACTATTATTATTATTATTACTACTACTATTATTATTACTACTACTACTACTATTATTATTACTATTATTATTATTATTACTACTACTATTATTACTACTACTACTACTACTATTATTATTATTATTACTACTACTACTATTATTATTATTACTATTATTATTACTATTATTATTATTATTACTACTACTACTACTATTATTATTACTATTATCATTATTATTACTATTATTATTAATATTATTATTACTATTACCATTATTATTACTATTATTGCGTAAATTTGTCGCGATTTTATTTCGCAAATAAAATACTAATTTCGCTAATATATTTTCCACTAGGCTAATTACATGCTCGAAGGGTTTCTTCAGACTTTAACATGCCAGTCGATTTTTTGGTTCGAATAGCTTTAGAGGAGCACTGCCATTGTTCGATCCCGTTTCGCAAAAATTCCGCAGAAAGATTCCAGGATTTCGGAGCTATTTGTTCCACGGTGTACGACGCGTTTAATTACGTTCGCGCTACGGTATATATCGCGGGGCATTACCGGAAATTAATAAATATCCGGCCGGATATTCGTCGCGGATATCTGTTCCCTGAATCTTGATCGTCCACAACGGATCTCGAGGATTCAACGGAATCGACGCGACATCGCCGATCGCGTCCAGCTTAATCGGCTCGTAAATAACGCTGCGCGCATATATTCACGGACGACCACTGTGCATTATGATGACCAATGAATTTTATTCGAAGCAGCTTCCGGATTTGCGTCAGTGGCTGGCAGCAAATAATTTACGGGAAATTTGAAAACGATCGGACACGGGAACGCTCTGCATCGAATTTTTAGCCATTTTTACGGACTAATAACTCCGCTATTTTGCAATATTCTCAAAATTAAAAAATCAGGCGGAAATCGCGGCGGAATGTTCAATGCGAAACTGTTCAATCAGAAGTAATCCGTGAAAAAATTCGCAGTTCTCTTAAAAAATAGTTCAACGCTAAACCTATCGAGGTCTAAAAGCGACTAACAAGAATTGCTTCGTAAGAATTGCGAGATAGAATTAATTCCAATTTTTCACAATTTCTATAACAGCGTGTGGCCCGAATAAAGAAATATGTTCACCAATTTTTAATTTGAAGCTACTTTATGACTTCAATAATTGTGAAATCAAATATGTGGAATCTATTGCGGATTTTATGTATTTATAACAAAAATCAGTGCATTTATAACATCAAATCGAGACGGTGACACTATTGGAAGAATTCAACGATTTGATTGTATTATTTACAATTCATGAAAATTATGAAATGAATGTCTACCCTATTCATTGCAATCGATGGGCCAATTCTTTATTTTATTTAAATTCTCTTATTTAAATTCTCACTATCAAACAAAATCCCTGTTATGAAATGACTTGAACAAGAGTTAATCCCTCATTTCACAGATTAAATTCGCACAAAAATGTTTAAGATCGTTGGAAAATATATCTTCGTGCTCAGAAGAGTCTATAGAATCGTTCTACAAAGAATCGTTCGATTAGCTTCCCCGGTTCAAATCCAAAAGATTCCCAAAGTCGATAGCAGGGGTTAACTTTCGCCGAAAGTTAACGCCGAGGTTCGTTTATCGATACATCGACAGCAAAATCTCGATGGAATCCAGTCGGTAGTTGTTTGCGACCGATTGATGCTGTCCCTGAGGGATTAAATTATAGCCTGCTCGGTAGATAGATGGTTTATCGATGGTCACACTGGGAGCAGATGCAATGCGTCAGCTCGACAAGGAACGCGGTTTTCCGTTCGGCTAGAAACCGGCTTGGACGGTGTTCGGCGTGTCTGAGTTTGATTAAATTCGCTTTACACGCTGGGACTTTTGATTACAGGATTACGCGTCCTTGCCCGAACTTTGGACGCACGCGTTGGCTCCGGCGGTCTGCGCCAAGTTTCCCCGCCGGCTGTGCTCCTCCTCTCTCTCTCTGTTCTCGAAATCGCAAAATTGCTTGTTCTCCTAATCGTCCCATTCACGACGAAGCAATTGTTACCGGCGGTCCACGAGATGCCCTTAAAATTTTCAAAAGGAAACCTAACAAGCTCGTCGAAGAACAAAAGAATCTCTTACGAGTGCGCTTCGTACAATAAAATAATTCATGTGCAGAGATGGGAAAGAAGTCACTGACCTTTGCACTTTCGAACGGTGTTCTATTACTTTGACAATGCAACGCGTTTCATCGTCGCACAATGGATCTACAGATTTCAGATTAAACGTAGCTTGCGGTGAATTACGGTACATTACAAACCTTTTCTTTATTATCGACAGGCGATGTTATTTGTGTTATTATTTGTGTTTTAATTTATGTTATGTGTCGCGAATAGAAACATAACCGAATAGTTCTCTGCACCGCGGGATCAGAATATATGTATAATTCGCGCACTAATACTAAGCTAGCAGGTACATCTTTGTACATGACAAACGAAATGCAAATTTTCGGCCAGCAAAATCGAGCAAATAAATCACTGTGCATCGTATAAAAAGTATAATGTACGATAGTCGATAATTTTCTAGAACTTTCACTCGTTGCTTCGAGCTCACGCGGCGCTTTTCTCGTGAACGTGTAACATAATTTTGGAACGTTGCGAGTCAATCGGTGATCAAATATTCGCGAGTAATTATTCTCGATCTAGGCGAGCTCTTCCCATTTAATCTGAGCACGTGGTGAAAGATCACCTCGGATACGTTCCACGCGATCTCAAACGGGGGACAGAGCAATAACTGGCTCCGAGATCCCTCGCAAAGCAAACTGCGCCGTCCTTTCAGCTCGTTATCGCGCGGGACGTCGTCGTCCCGATAGAGACAGCTCTCGGATTAGCAAGTTAGCGTCAAAGGGGATCGCGATTCCACTTAATCGCGAGTTAATTCAACGAGATCCAGCGGATACAGTGGCGCGAGGAATAAAACGCAACTCCCCGGGAAACGTTGCGTCGGCCCGTTAAACTTTATCGTCCCGCGATTCCGCAGTTGTCGTAGCGTTTTATAGCCGCGGCTGTTTACGATTCTATCCGTCACGTTCTGCACGAGTCCCGATAAAAAGCCAGCTTATAAAAGCAGGATCCGAGGCTCCCGGCGTTGTTTCGTAAGGCGCCATGCGGCGGGCCACGTTTTTCGTTAGCGTGATCGCGCTCGTCATTTTCTGCTCGTTGATCGTCGATCATGGACTCGCGGATCCAGATCCGGATCCGGATCCTCGCCGTTTGATCTACATCATCACGCATCGGCCGAGGAAGAGACACGAGGATATTGTCGTCATCACGCCGCACAGAAGAAAGCACAGGAAGACGCGCATCATTTACGTTTCACATTGAACAGGCACTTGTGAAAATTGTGGGTACTCGGAATTCATTTTAAAGTACAGTAATTTGTCACAGAAATGTTCGGTTGTCGGAATTGAAACAGATCTGAGAATACTTAGTCGCGATTCTTCGAGTCTCGCGGCTCGTTTTTATCAAAATTCAAGGCAGTCGGCAAAAAAGGCACTGGCCAGCATGCCGGTGTACATTAATATGTTATTAATAATATATTATAATTATATAATATGTTATTAATAATATATTATAATTATATAATATATTATAATTATATAATATATTATAATTATTATTATTATATATTATTATAATAATATATTAATATGAATGCTAGAATAAAAACGATGACTTAACTTCTTTATCTATAATTTTTTATCACGGTTCGAGGGCAATTCGGAGGTAACATGACACGATTCGAGGGAAATTCGGAGGCCATATGCCGCGATTAGTTCACGCATCAAGTACAACACAGTAACACATAACTAATACTTCACAGCAAACCGAAATTTGGCATTTCCAGAAGAAATTACTGTACTACTACTATACTCTCTCTCTGTAGCACTTACATGAAGATTTTCGGAAAATTCAGTTTTTGAACACTCATGAATACACTGCGGATCTTTATGCAGAATGAAAAATGTCTGCATCAATTGCAAGAAATTAAAACTAACTTGATTCTTTCCTGTTTCGATAAATTCAATAAGATGACGATAACGTGTTCTTAAAATCTTCCGATGGTTCTCTTGCTTCGTATTTCACCTTCTTATTTCAGTCATGAATGCATAAAATCCGCAGTCTACTCGTAAAAAATGTTTTCGATCGCTTGCATGCCAAATCACGTTTTGATCGATTTTTCTCTTATCGCTTGAAAAGAGATGTAGACAGTTTTCGATGGTCTTTGTAGATTTGCAAAAGTGTGTTTGCATGAATGTCTTAACCCCTTGCACTATAACAACTTGTCATGATCTATTAAATATGAATATTATTTATATCTTCTAAATCGAAGCAAAATTTGATTATTCTGTTACCAAAATCTGCGAACGAATGTTAATGAACGTACACGGAAAACACAAATTGTTCGGTTCCATTATTATTGAAATTATATGAAATTGTTATTATTATTATTATTGAAATTGTTGAGGGCAAACATGAGCTAATCAACGCAGTTGATTGTGAAAACAATTGTACTGCAAGGGGTCAAGAACCAGGAGGTGCAGAACAAATTGTTTTCCCGTCATATCAAAATTTCTTCGAGAATTTATATGCATTTCTTATGAAAGCATCTTGACGATTCCAACGATGGTGAATTAATTAATATGAAGCAGATGGACGATTGGTTTAGCCAGTGGAGAATGTGGTGAAAATATCGTTTATCTTGGAAATTTCTGTTGGAAAACAGGTTCGCTCGCTGAAAAGCGAGGAGGCGACGGTGCACGCGGAGAGGGAAAACGATACATCGGAGGCGTTGAAAAGCACGGCCGCGTGCAGTGTGCATACTGCGTGCACAGAGGCAACGTCTTACCTTGACCGAGCACTTCCGGTATCCCGCTTGCATCGCAGTGCACTGTGCATCATGCACTCTGCCGATTACTTCGATCTTACTATGTATCTGCATGGAAAATACAAGGAAGTTTCTATGACAACGAAGGCGAAATCTTTCTTTTGGAGAAAACTACCCCTATTCTAAGCACATATAATGTTAGGGTAGATGCACCGGTTGTGGCCACGCCTAGGATTTATATGAATTACAATATTTAATATTCTTTTTTATTAATATAATAATTAATAATATTCAATTTTCAATATTCTTATTTATTAATATAATATTTAATAGTATTCAATACTTATTAATGTTCAATATTTCAATATTCTTAAAGTCTTGTATCACATATGAAATGTGCAAGCTTTAATAGATTATTTAATACCTTTAGTTTTGATATCTAACTTGTAATAGGGTAATAAAATGATTAAAAGATTGTTACAGTACAAAAATATTAAAATACGCATTTTTCACCGCTTGTAACAACTTGTACACCAGTCCCGTTCATGTTCAGTAACATTTCTGGTCACCTCAAAAGTTACACGGATCATTTTTATAACAAGAAAGAATATGAACCATTCAAATGCAGCATAATTTTTAAAACGTTTCGCTTCACTATATTATACTTTATGGTATTTGAAAATTTTGGTATTATAACATGTGTAAGCATTGATAACGTCAAAGTAATTTTATTCTACTCATTTTAAAAAGTTTTGTCCGCCTTGTTCTTTTATGTTTTTCCTGCTTATTTTATTCTTCGTATTTTCCTTTACTTCCAATTTCTTTCTTTCCACTTCTAATTTGTTTTTCTTAATTTCTTCTGCTTTCTCCCGTTTTATTCCTTTCGCTGGTAACTTTATTCGCATTGCATTTTGTTTATCCACTAGTTTCTTTCCTTTCTTTTTGAGGTTATGCAGTTGTTCTAATTACCGTGCGACCGGATTTATCGCAAGAAAATCACACAATGCCACAGGTTCTTTACCAACGATCAGAATTCTGTACAATGTAGAAGAAATGTATTTTTCATTAATTGTGCGTATCCAATGAAAGAACTGTGGCAAACTTCAAATAAGAAAATACGAACAATAATACAGACGACCAGAAACGGTGCACTTACTGTTTGATGTTATTTGTTCGTGAAAGAAAATCTATTCTCGAAGTATTAAAGATTGAGTAATGGAATTTCGTTCACGAAAAGTTACTATCCACCGCAGCCGATTGGAAATTCGGAGGAGCAGCCTGACAAATTGCAGGAAATTGATCGGCGCTCGTGTCTTAATCCATAAGAAGCCGCCGCATTCTTAATTTACCTTCATTTATCACCGTCTCATTAAAATCCTCCGCCCACCGTTACCTTCCTCGAGAAACTTGAGAAAACCCCGAGATCGATAAACAAAATAAACGAGGAGCAGTCGGAGCTACGTGTACATCACTATTTTATAGCCAAAGTACATTTATACCGAGAACACGATTTCACTCGGATAGAAACCCAAATCAAAATCTCAGCATCGTAATTAATATTTCCTGTAGAATGGGATCAGCATGAGAACTACGACGGAGTAATAAATCGTCCTTTTCCACATTTCTGCTTCTTTGGGATAGAGATTAATCCTGCCGAAAACAGAGTATAAATATTGTTATTAACAATACTTAACAAAGTATATATATTGTATTATATTGCGTCCTTTAAAAATATATTGATGAAAATTCATAAATAAATTACTAAATAGTTACTAATAAATTGATAAGTAATTACAAATGACCGTAAGCACGCCAGTCATATTTTTCTGAAAAAGATTTGCCACTTAATAGCCAGTCATTTAAACCAGGGCTCGGAATTAACCGGCACGTAACACGAGGATCGTGAGGGCTACGCCTTCCGACTCCCGTCGCGCGCCTCGCTCTCCGGTGATCGCCTAACACACACATATACTATATATACTACTGAAGTGCTGCGAGCATCGCGAGGAGCGAGACGCGCGGCGGGAGTCAGAAGGCGTAGCCCTCGCGATCCTCGTGTTGCGTGCCGTTTAATTCCGAGCCCCGATTTAAACTGAATGCAAACAAACTAGAATTTACGTTAACACTGCATAGAATTACCAAACCAGTCAAAATGACTGGTTCCTGATTTTTCCTTTCACACGATCTCCGATACTATGATTATAATAAACATTATAATATAATATATAATATAATATAATATAATATAATATAATATAATATAATAATAATAAATATTATAATAAAAATCATTATAACAAAAATCGTGGGAAGTTTAAATAAATCCAATCTTGTCATTTTTATAAAACATTATGCATTAGTCATGTTTAGAGCGTGGTAGTTCTAGCGTTAAACATTTTAAATATTTTAAACGAAGTGGAGCAACGTGCCATCACGATTAAATTGTTCAGGTGCAGTGTTCAGTTCAGAGTTAAGCAAAACACTGTGTATACAATAAAAAGACAAATCGTCCGTAAAATCGTGTCGAGTGAATATACTCGTCGGAAACGAAACGGATTTTCGGGACAAGCTAATAGTTGAGATAAATGTCGCAGCGGTGCATGAGAGAGGTAAAGTCAGAGAGAGAGAGAGAGAGAGAGAAAGACTGCGAGAAGAATCGAACGGGGGCACGGTGTCGAACAGAATCCAGATAAATCGACTCACCCCGAAGCGAAGGCGGCGCGGGCGAGAACACGATCGGGTCGTGATCGTTTATTGGTGTCGACGGACCGGCTGATCGTCCTGGAGCTTACTTAAATAGAAGCACGATCCGATCTCGTTCCCGATTCTCCCGGGCCCACTCAATTTCCTCTGTCGGTATCCGGTGTTCCGTTCCTAACGTATCGTCTCCTCCATTCGCGCGAACTAACTCGCAACACCGTTTATCTCTCGGTTATTAAACTTCGATTCCGTATTTGCTCGGTTCGACCATCGAGCTAGGTCAATTTTATCGAGCAAGCAAACCTCCGCGTTTCAATTGTATATCTTCCCGTAGCTCTGTACGAATACAGAGACGAGTACATCTTTATTTGTTAGCGAATTCAACTCTTCGCTGAAACAACGAGACTTTAAGTGCCTGGCAAACTCCTATTGTCTTCGTTACTTCCGTCGCATTTTGATCTTTGTTGTTTCTGCGCCCAATTAGAGACCGCGATACGTACTTCAGAATTTCTCTGTCTCGTCCAAAGCTTAAAACAATGAGATGATAGACCGAACACGTAGCTCACTGGGTTGATCTTTTATTATTACTATTGTTCTTTATGAACGAGAGCCCTTTTATACTATAGAAGTTTAACACCTTCGCTATCGGCGTCACACGTTCGACGACCACGATTTTATATTTCACGCGAAGAACGTCACACTGACTTTGTTAATATAATTATTGAAAATTGTAACACACACGTGGCAAGATATTTAGAGAATTTCGTAGCTTGTCTTTGTGTATCTAATACGGTAAATACAATAAATGATATAAAATTTGAAACGTACTGAACATGATGGACAAAAATATCGCAAAATATTTATAGAATATTCTGAAGCGTTTTCGAGTAAAGACCAATGTTCCAGAATTCTCAGTATTTCCGAATGTAATAGTATTCTGTAGCAGTCGCTGCTATCACAGTGCTGTTTAGTATTTTCCAGCGCCGTCCAATTTTCTGTATCATTCCTTAGTGCTCCGGTATCTCGGTATCGTTCTTGCATGATTATCTCGCACAACAACCATTTCCACATCGCGGCGAAGAAAAATACAGCAGTGAGCTGCCGCTAAAGCCGAAGGCGCTCGAACGAAGCGAAGAGCAAGCGTTCGCCAATTTTCCCGCGAACTTCGCGAACTCGCGGATAAACGCGAGATCCGTGGCATCTTCCAGTGAGAAAGAAAAACCAGTTCGACCGCCCGTGAGCTTGCCAGAGAAAATCCGGATGGAGATTCACGATTCTCGGGCAAACAGTAGTCGGGAATCATTATTCGATGGTTTACGAGCAGTTGGCAGGGCTCTCGGCGACGTCGCTCCTGGCTTGCCAAAGGAAATCGGGAATTCGACAGTGATCTCGCCTTTCGTCCAACACTCACTAATCTCTCTTTCTCTCTCTCTCTCTCTCTCTCTCTCTCTCTCTATCTTACCATCTCACTCTCTCACTCTCTTACTTTCTCACTCTAACTCTTTCACTATCTCTCTCCTACTCTCTCTCTCTCTCTCTCTCTCACTCTTTCAGTCTCTCTCTCTCTCTCTCTCTCACTCTCTAACTCTCTTAATATCTCTCTCTCACTCTCTCATTCTTACAGTCTCTCTCTCTCTCACTCTCTAACTCTCTTACTATCTCTCTCTCATTCTCTCACTCTTTCAGTCTCTCTCTCTCTCTCTCTTACTCTCTTACTCTCTCATTCTTTCACTCTCCCACTTTCTCTCTCACTCTCACTCTCTCTCTCTCTCTCTCTCTCTCAGAATTTCACGCTCTCACTATCTCATTCTCTCAATCTCTCACTCGCTTAATCTCTCTCTTACTCTCTCTCTCTCTCTCTCAGTATTTCACGTTCACACTATCTCATTCTCTCAATCTCTCACTCGCTTAATCTCTCTCTTACTCTCTCTCTCTCTCTCTCAGTATTTCACGTTCACACTATCTCATTCTCTCAATCTCTCACTCGCTTAATCTCTCTCTTACTCTCTCTCTCTCTCTCTCTCTCACTATCTTATTCTTTCACTCTCTTTCACACACACACACACACACACACACACACACACACACACTCTCTCTCTCTCTCTCTCTCTCTCACTCTCTCTATCTCTCACTAATCTCACTGTCTCTCTCTCTTTGCTGGACCCCGAAATCCTTGGATAGGTCGCGAGTTGATTTACATTTCTCTAGAAACAGCGGAAAAAAGCCTGGAGAATAGTGGATCGCGCGCATCCCCGCAGCTTTCCGGATTTTTACCGCCTTCTGCGAGTGGAGTGTTTACTGGCGGGCCTGAGAGTGGCCTCGGCCTCTTCCTCTTCCTCTTCAACGTTTTTCTTGCGCTCTATTCGACCTGGAAACGAACGTTTCCTCCTCAAGAAAATAGGAAACGAATCGTTGAGTTTGTGGGCCGCTAGAGGCCGTAGCAGGT